GAAGATAGGGAGCAACTACTAAACATGCCACAAACAAGTAGAATCTGGCTTCATGATCCCCCTAGTTCTTGACAACTACCTTAGCATGCTTTATCTTAGAATCAACCAAATGTATTCTCAAACTGTGCATACCATGACCACCTAGTAAGATTATTATTCAAAAGCAAGAGTCCATTGTTTACAAGTCCAAGTCAAAATAGAAATAGTGAAAAATAAAGCCTCAAAAGGTATGTACAAAACCAAGAACAAAGAGAAAAGAAAAAAAAAAGAATAAAAGTTTAAAAGAAAATATAAAGGAAAAGTAAGAGAACAAAGAAAAGGACAAAGATGCAATCATAAAACGTATTTCCCAATCGACATACAAGCGGTCAAATGGCCACATCGCCAAAGACCCCAAACACACTAGGTGTTATAATCATATATCCTCGAACCGTTCAATTCCCCTAAAACTAATCCTAATCTAAGCAACCAAGAAAAGTAAAGGAATAAAAGTAAAGAGATAAAACAATAAAGGTCTTATCAAGCGTCCAAGCTATGCTACAATAACCAAGGGGTAAGAACGACCTCCTCCAAGAAGCTTCGAAGACCAAAGCGTAAGCTACTAGGAATGGCAACGGATCGGATTCGGGTCGGATGTGGCTAAATCCGAATTCGATCCGTTAAGTAAACGGACCCTGGACTCAGATCCGAATCCGATTCCGAATCCGAAAAATCCGAGTCCAAATCCGATCCGACTTGTAATTTTCGGATCCGAATCCGGTCCGTTTATTCGGACCTCCGAAATGGTCCGAATATTTTTTTTTTATTTTTATTTTTTGTAATGTCATATACCTATAATTTCTTGTATTCTCGTACCAATTAAAGTATAAACATAACATATTTAAAATATAAACTAAGTTACATAACAAAATTTTGCTACAAAACAAGAAAATAGTTGTCTTAAGTTATGGAGCATATGCTTATACTCTCGGATTCGGACTCGGATCGGACTACGTCGGACTTTGCGTAGGGTCCAAGTCTGATCCACCCCCTATTCGGATTCGGATTTATTTTATTGGATTCGGATTCGGATTCGGACTAATTTTAAACGGATTTGAATCGGATTTTTTCCTTCGGATCGAATCGGATTCGAATCGAACTCGGATTAAATTGCCATCCCTATAAGCTACGAGCAAGGTGAGAAAAAGAAAAGGACTATATACAAAATAAAATTGTTAGTAACTTCCAAACAAAATCAAACAAAAGAAAGCTTACTTGAAAACTATGTACAAAAACCTAAAGAAAGCATCATCATCATCATGATCAAAAGAAACCTCAAAACATCATTATCAAAATCAAGACAACAAGACAAACATCGTACTAACTAGACTACCAAGAGCGAATCAAGAAAAATCCACCAAAGCCTTTTCAAACACATCCCCATGAGTCGAAGGCGCCTCCCCCAAAACCTACCCTGAAACATCTTTTTGGATCCCCCCCCCCACAAAATAAGGGCATCGACCACTACGCTCTAAAACATGCAAAGCTAAAGGGGAGGAAACAAAAAGGGAATCAAACAACCAAGGGGGAAACTATTGGCCACTAGGGCTGGCACCACCATCACCCACATCCCAACCACCGGTAAAACCGGGAGGGAACCCATAACGACCCTTGAAAAGGTCAAGTTTGGATATGGAAAATTGATCAAATGGCTCGGGCTGCATACAGAGCTCGGGGTGATTGGGGTGAACATAGTAGTAATTGGGGTCACCCCTGTAATCACTCCTCCACGAAACCCGGTAGTCATAATGACCGGAATCATTTGTAAAGTCGCGCCATGACTCATCGGGGTGTGTAACCCCGGGCCAATAGGGGTACGTGGGGAGGTTGTCACCACCCCAAGATGGCACAGGCCCTTGTTACGGCGGCACATATGGGTAGTTAACCGGAGGAGTGACCTCCCCCCTACGCACACTAGCATCATATAGGGCGCTAGTTTAAAAAGACAAAGTTTGATGGTTGGAATACATACCTTGCATGCTCAATTACATGCGCTTCATATGCTCTCGCATAGCCTCCATCTCATTAAGATAGGCATCTCCACCTTCTCCACCCTCATCATCATCATCATCATCATCACCGTCACCATCATTCACATCATCATCATCATCCTCCATATCATCCTCAACTCTTTCATTGTCAATAGGAATCCTCCAAATAATCCTAGCATCTCGAGTAATTGAGGTGGCGGCCGGGTTTGGGAGTAAACAATAGTGCATATTACGCACTAGCCAAGAATAAACATCGTCTCTCTTAGTTCTAGTAATGAAACGCAAATTGTTAAGTTGCTTCAAATCTAAATACATGTCTTCACTCCCTCCAACCGGAGTGTAAGACCTCAAAAAACGTTCTTGCTTGAAATGATACAGCCATCTCATAATCATACCTCCACAATGTATCTCACCCGTTTTCTTCCCATTAATGATTTCCTTGCAACAATACACAAAAATGTACCAAAATTCAACCTCGGCCCCATATCCGGCCTTGTAGCCATCCAAAAAACTAAGATCTCCTCTCTCGAAAGCTTCCCAAGATCTTGCTTAATAAACACGACATAGCCAAGAACCCGATGAAGAATTCTAAGACATGGGTGAATGATCTCACTAGCAAGCGAATTCATATAGTCAAACACCTTCTTTTAAGCAATTTGTCTCCACCATGGAACCTTATTGTAACCGGACTTGAAAAGGGAAACTAAGGGCTCATAGATGTCGGCATTGGGATTGAAGCCAAGGGCTTTATTTAATTCGGCAAGGTTCATGGTATGCTTGGCATTGAATAGTTGGAAAGAGATGATATAGTTGGTATCCCCCGCCCTATTATACTCAAAAGTAAAGAAAAACTCAATGCAAGGTTCCAAATAGGTTTTTGGAGATGACTTTACAAACTCATCCAAACAAAGGTTACGGATTAGGATGTCAAAATCGACATCAACTCCTAATGTGACCATATCATCGGGAAGATAGTTGCGGGTAGGTCTTAATTTCCGGGTTTTCATTTTGTTATAGATTGGGACATGTTTTGACCGATTGTGAAATTTGAGAGAAGGTGGGGAATCATCTTGAGGAGTTTTGTTGTGAGGAGGTTCGGTGTTTAAAGGTTGGCCTTGAGAGGATTGGAATTGGGAGGATTGGGCGGGGGATTGGTTAGAACGTTTCTTACTACTCTAAACGTTTCTTAACAAATCCATAGCACAAGTTCAACCAGCACAAGAAACTACACAATCACCCAAAATCAACACCAACACTACCACCAATTTTTCAAACCACCTTCACAATACCACCCAAAACCACCACAAACTACAAAGTACCTGTTACAAGCAAAAAAACAACCAAAAATCCAAACAACAACCAACAACATTAATAATCCATCTCAAAAATAAGCATAAATCACTCAAAGTAATTCCAAAACCACCATACAAACAACCATAAACATCATAGTCATGCTTAATCATGGAAAATCAAAACCAATGTATAATAATCAATTGAAATTGAAAAAAAAAAAAAAGGTTAGAAGTATACCAAGATTGAAGACTCAAACAAAGCTCAAAATTGCTTCAAGGACTCAAATTTCCCGAATAACCGCGAGAAAAGAAACTTAATGTTGATGAAAATGGAGTAAGATGGAAAATGTGATGGAAATTTGAGTGAAACAAGGAGGAATTGTGTGAATTTGAGTAAGAATGATGATTTGGGGTTAGGGTTTGAGAGGGGGAAGAGAGAGAAAGGGGAAAAACAAAAGGAGATTGAAAAATAAGAGATGAGAGAGAGAGAGAGTAGCAAACTGGCCTCCTTTGTAACCTTGGTGGCCGCGCCATCTCCCGCATTCGCCGCGCCCGCGGAGATTCGCCCGCACCCGCAGAGAGACCGTGGGGCAACCGCAGGCTTAATCTTGAAAATATTTTGATTTTTACTTTTAAATGGGGTCGCGCCCTCTCCCAACTTCGTCGCGCCCTCTTCAGGTTTGTCGTGCCCGCGGGGCAACCGCGGAGAGTTCCTGGTGCAACAAAACCCGCGTCCACGGCCTTCAGGACCCGCGCCCACGGCAACCTGGCAAAGGCTGACGCCCTCTTCAAGGCCTCTCCAAGCCCTTTCCAATCCCTCTATGAGTAGATTGCTTCCTCCTTGCTTAGTCAATGTAGCTCAACTAATTTAATTGCAACAATTCAATCAACGGATTTTTCACCAAATACCACTGAGTTTAAGATTAATTCACCGTATACCACCAAAAACTTTGTAATACACCTTGTACCACTCAGTTACTGTACATTAACACGAAATGCCTTTTTCCTTAACTGTCGTTAGTCTGCCGTTTGAAGGAATTTACCAATTCACCATATACCACTACTGTGAAAAATTATTTCACCATATACCATTATTTAAAAGTTATTTCACTACTTACCCATTTTTTTTGTAACGGTAATATTTTTTTAAAAAATAACCCTTGCACACTTGTAACGACTACTTTGTTTATAAAAATGTAGTGTTTGAGAAGATACTTATCAAGTCACACTTCTAAAAGCTAGAGTTAAAATGTAAACAAACTTTCATTGCTAAAAGTAATAGCAAGTCGAATTGGTAGCTGTTTGTCTTCAAAAAATTTAGGGCTACATGATTTTGCAATGGTTGTAGTACATTTTCTTGAAATGTAATAAACAAGTTTGTTGCAAAACAACTAAGTGCTTAAGATTATGTCAAAAAAAAACCTGACACAAGTTTGAAATGTTTTCCCCAAAAAATAATACATAATTTATGGCAGCTTCAAGGATTCTAACTGTTAGCCTTTCTCTTCCTCCCTCTTCCTTTGCCTTGCTGTGAATTGGATGCTGCATTTTCTGCTTGTTTTTCTGCTTCCTTTCTTGCCTTACAGGCTTTTGCATTGTGTCCTAACTCCTTGCAAAGACTGCACTTGTTGTTCTTGTGCCTCTTTCCTTTTCTTGTATCATGAGGTGCTCTCCTTCTCTACTTAGCTGGTCTACCTGCAGCTCTTTTGACAGTTGGTGGTGCTATTTCAGGCACATCAAATGCTGGCCAGTGACTTGGATCTGACATGGGATGGATGTGGTCTCCATAAGTCAGCTTGTAAGCAGCTCCCTTGAAGTATGGTGACACATAATCTCTAGCTTGAAGTCTTTGGCTGTATATGACCCTTAGACCATGTCTACATGGTATTCCTAACCCTTGCCACTTCCCACAACCATAGGTCATTGTCTGAAGTGTGACAGAGAACTTCACATGCCCATCCCTGACCTCAAACTCTCCACCACCAGCTGCTATCACATGACACAATCTGGACTCCTCACTTCTTATCTCCAAAACTCCCTTAGCAAACTCTGTTAGCTCATTAGGATCCATATCAATTGCTTTTTCAAACCTAGAACCCATCCTTTTCATGCACCAATTCCTTACAGCTGGTTTAAGTCCAAAAAAAAAAAAAACAAAAACAAAAACAAAAAATCAAACAAAACCAACACAAAGAAATCCAAACCATCAAAACATGGTGCTTACTGTTTAATCACAAAGAAATTAAGGGGTCAGATGTTACCTTCCATTAAAGTCAGGACAGGCAAATCTCTGTTGTCCTTTGTACATGAGTTGAATGACTCGACAAAGTTTGTTGTGTTATGATCACAAAAAATTATTCTGTCAAACATGTACCTAATCCATTGCTCTGCAGTAGGTGTAAGGTAATCAAATGCTGCTACATCATATTTCTCGATCTTTGACATTGCCTTGTCATACACATATGCATTGTATGCATTGGCTGCAATCCAAAAGAGTTTATGAAACTCTGTCCCACTCCACCCAGCTTTTTTTCAGTTAGAGTACACATGCTGACAGCATACCTTCCTAGTTGCTCTTGGGAATACCTCAAAAAGAGCTGATTCAACACCCTTCAACATACAAACACAAAGTTAGTTACTGAAAATTAACAAAAGAAAGACAAAGTTTAATTATTTTAAAAAGCAAGAAACTAACCCTCATCCTGTCACTTATAAAAGTCCAGTCATCCCTTTCAGATCCATATTGTGCAAAAAAGAGCCTTAGGTTTCTGAAAAAGTAAGTCCAGCTGTCTATACTCTCTGTATCAACCAGACCATTAGCTATCTTAAAAATCTCATTATTGCCATCAATGGACACTGTAGTGAGCATGACTCCTTTGTAATAGCCACTGAGATGGGCACCATCAATCCCTATAATGGGTCTACAGCCACCCAAGAACCCTTTCACCTGAGCTGCAAAAGAGATGAAACATGCCTTAAACTTTTCACTATTGCCCCCACTGTTAGTCCAAGTAATGAGAGCATATGAGCCAGGATAGGTGGCCTTTATCATCTCAACATATTTTGGTAAGAGAGCATAGGACTGGGAAAAACCACCATGAATTTTTTCCCTGGCCAAACACTTCACTTTGTAAAATAGCCTGAACTTTACTTGGATCCTAAACCTCTCCAGGCACATCCTTTGCAATGCATCAACAGGGATTTCTGGGTTTGCTTCCAGATCTGGCCTCAAATGTCTACAAAGCCATGCTAAAGGCACCATAGGATTCTCTTCCAGCCTCCCACAAGTTTTATGTTCCCCTTCCAGTATCTTTATTGCCAGTTGACTTTATCAACAAGGACTGCTGCATGAATCCTCCAACTGCAATCATTGATCAGACACCTTGCAGTATATCTATGATTGTCAGCATAGTCTAATGTCACAGCAAAGCCTTCTTGTATGCAAAAATCTCTGAAGACATCATGAAATTGTTCCTTGGTTTCAAATATTAACCAAGGTTCAAGTTAAATTGACCCAAATGGTGAGTTAGACCAGACCTTGCCATTTTTGTACAGGTTGTCTAAAACATGGGTCCCATCCAGGTAGTCATCAAAAGTCTTCTCTTGTATATTATCAACTAGGTCTTCTTCTTCCACAATATACTCGTCATTAAGGTTCAATTCCATATCCAAATCATCCTCAGATTCTGAAAATTCATAGTCATCATCTTCACTATCCTTAGAAGGCCATGGATCAGATTCACCATCACTGTCCTCAACTTGCACAGGTTTTTTGCTCCTTGTATTCACTTCCCTCCCTCCTCTTTTATTCTTCACAACCTCAACACCATACCTTTTTGATGTTCTTCTTGGAACCCTCCACTTTTTTGGTTTAAATCTAGATTGCACTTTAGGCTTGACCACAGAACTAGAAGCAGCACTAGGTTGGGGTGGTGGGGGTGGTGTAGGCTGCCTGGCTTGGGGTGGTGGTTCATGCATGTGTGGGTTATTTAGGGAAGCATGGTGTGTTGGTGTTGCTGGTGGAGAAGGATGCTTACTTGGTGGTGGAGATGTAGGCTGACTAGGTTGAGTTGACTGCTTAGGTTGGGTTTTTTTCTACCTTGGAGTTACTTTTTTCCTTCTAGGAGATTTTTTGGGTGGTGATGGTGTCTTACTTTTTTCATTTGAGGGTTGAGATGGTTCATTTTGTGAGGGTTGAGGTTGAGAATCTCCTGGAAATGACTCATCAGCTGCTGTAGTGTGGAATACCCTAACATATTCAGTCACATCTTCTTCTGCATTCACAACAGGGACCTCTACAACAACAGTAAATGGTTCTTGAGCATTAAGCTCCTCCTCAACTTCTTCAGCCTCTGCATTTCACCTTCTCTCTTCCTCCTTCTGCCTAATTTTGTAAGCCCTGATCTTCAAAGTTCTTTCCCAACTAGCTTCTGCAGACTGGAAGACAACAGATGGGTTTTCTGTCTCTTCTATGAACACTTCTATTTCATCCTTCCCTTCATTCCACGCCCACATTTTCAACATTGTCCCATCATCAAATAACTCTAGCTTACGATTAGTTCTAGGTTTACTCACAAACAAAGTGAAGTACTTAGGGAGGAAAACATTCTGCTTCACTGAATCCTCAAACATATACTCAAACAACTCCATTAAATTGGTCTTATCAGTGTCATCCACCCTAACATCAAAACTACCACCTGGCAAACAAACTAATAGCCACAATGCACTCATCCTAACAACGAATAATAAGCAACAACAATTAACATCACATCACCAGTTAACATCAAACTTAATCTAATCACTAGTTAACAACTTCCAAACTAATCATTCGAAGTTAATAGCATAACATCCAAACTAACATAATCATTTTCGAATAAACCCTAACCCTAACTCAATTTCGCAAAAAAAAAACAAAATTAGAGCTCGAAAATCAAATCAATGAGAAGAATATTACCTTTAGAAAGCTTAACCCATCCCAGGTGAGAATTTCGAGCGAAATTCAGTCACGAACAACTTCCTCTCTCAAACCGCACCAACCAGGTTCCGTGTTAAATCGAAAAGCTCTAATTATCGTCCTGCTAGCAACGTCTACTTTAGATCGAAGAAAGTTTACAACTTTTGGATTAATTTTTGAGGATCAACTTCAATGGTGAAGAACAGAGAGACGCTTTAATGGAAAGGGAAAATGGGGGGTCAATTTTTTCGAATTACAAGTGTGATGTTTGTGGGAGTCAACCCTATTGATGGTGCTAGTTTGATTTATAAGGTCAAATTGGTAAATTCCCTCAAACGGCAGACTAACGACAGTTAAGGAAAAAGGCATTTCATGTTAATGTACAGTAACTGAGTGGTACAAGGTGTATTACAAAGTTTTGGGTGGTATATGGTGAATTAAGCTTAAACTCAGTAGTATTTGGTGAAAAATTCGTTCAATCAATCAATGATCATCAACTAGCACAAATCATCAATCAAGCATGCTTCCCCTTCTCCCTAGTAACTAATCTACTCACTAATCATGGTGTAACTCAAGAACAAATCACTAGAAATTGCATTCATCATCATTCTAAATCAAAATCAAGAGAAAACAATATCAACTACAATATCAAATTCAAATCCAAGGAAATCAAACAATCAAACATGAATCTAAGACAAACAAGTAAAGAGATGAACTAAAAGAAGAGATTCTCACTAATATTAATGATTGAAGATGAAGAAATCCAAACTTGATTGAACCAATGTTGAAATACAAATCCAAATCCAAGAATTTCTCTCTAACTTCTCTCTCTAAAACTAAGCTAATGAAAATTATCTAAAAGTTAGTTTTCAAAAAGGAATTACTAGTGTTTTTATACGCAAAGAAGGAAAACAGGATACTCGCGTCCTCTCTAAGAAATCCCGCGCCCGCGGAGAAATGGGTACCGAACCCATAACAAACTCCGCGGGCTGTCTGGGCAACACCCGCACCTGCGGCAAGGGCGCGACGAATCCCCTGCTCCCAAAGAGTAATCAGAGGGCCGTAGTGTCTCTAATCTGGAGCGCTCTCTCCAGTCTATTCGCGCCCGTGGGTAGCCCACGGCCAGACCGCGGTGAGTTCTTGATCTTTTTTGACAAAAATAAGCCGCACCCTCTCCAAAGTTGCCGTACTCGCGGGGAGCCCATGGGGTAACCGCGGAGAGTTCCTGATCGGTTTTGCCCTTTTTTAAAGCAAGAGCACCCGAGCCCTCTCCAAGCCCGCGGGGTTCCCTCTCCCCTGCACTCCAAATCCTTCTTTTGCCATCCTCATCAAACACTTTAAGTCTATATTTGATGATTGAAGGTAACCTACAAAACAAACCAAAAACAAAAGGAAAGGTAAGAACAAAAATCAACAAAGAAAAATAAAAGAATGGAAAGAAAAGAGAATAGAGGTAAGAATCCGGGTTACCTCCCATAAGCGCTTTTGTTTAACTTTGTTAGCTCGATGTTTACCACCCATTCAAGGTGGCCTGAAGAGAATCATTTTGTAAACAAGACCAACGAACACTCCATCAAAATATTCCTTGAGCCGATGACCATTAACCTTAAGAGAAGACGAGGAATCCAAAGGAGAAATTACCACGACACCATTAGCAAAAACATCTTTCACCAAGAAAGGGCCACTCCATCTTGACATGAGATTTCCGGGAAACAACTTCATTCTTGAATTGTAGAGGAGGACTTTATCACCAACACAAAACTCTTTCTTCTCAATAAGCTTTCCGTGAGCTTCTTTGGAACGAGCTTTGTAGGTTCTAGCACAATCGTAAGCATCAAGTCTAAGCTCCTTTAGCTCATGTAGATCCAACCACCTTTTCTCCCCCGCACTTTCTAAATCAAAGGTTATCTTCTTGATTGCCCACAAAGCACAGTGTTCAAGCTTTACCGGGAGATGGCATTATTTGCCATAGGCAAGGCGATATGGAGTGGTGCCAATAGGTGTCTTGAAATCCGTTCTATAGGCCCAACGAGCATTATCCAACTTGTCTGACCAATCTTTTTTATTCCTTGAAACCGTTTTCTCAAGAATAAGATTTATTTGACGATTGGAGACCTCGACTTGGCCACTCATTTGAGGATGATATGGAAGGCCGAAGCGTTGATGAACTCCATGTTTTCTCAACATCTTTTGAAAGGCATTGTGAACAAAATGAGAATCATTATCGCTTATCACCACCTAAGGCACATCAAACCTTGGGAAGATGATTTCTTTGAACAACTTCAACACTACTTTGTGTTCATTTGTTGGGGAAGCAATGGCCTCAACCCACTTAGAAACATAGTATGAATTGATTCCCATATGAAGATGGGAATGGTCCCATGAAGTCAATCCCCCATACAACGAACACCTCCAACTCAAGAATAGGTTGTTGAGGCATCTCATTCCGCTTTGAGATATTCTCAACTCTTTGACATCGGTCACATGACTTGACAAAGCCCCATGAATCCTTGAAGAGATGTGGCCACCATAAACCACTTTGAAGAACCTTAGTAGCTATTTTGGGAACACCCATATGGCCACCACTAGGATTCGAATGGCAGATCTGTGGAACACTAGGCACCTCTTCATTCGGAACACAACGCCTAAGCAAGCCATCAACCCCTCGTTTATATAAGATGGGATCATCCCACAAGTAATGTCTTGCCTCCTTCTTGAGTTTCTTTCGTTGGTTCTTGGAGAAAGAAGGTGGAAACTCCCCACATGGTAGAAAATTTACCAAATCAGCATACCATGGGAGTTCCTTTACCTTAATGGCATACAAGACATCATCAAGCATTTTATCTTTAATTGGTGAACCATCATCATGAATTTGATCACCCTCAAGGCGAGAAAGATGGTCCGCCACAACATTTTCCAAACCCTTCTTATCCCTAATCTCTATTTCAAAAGTTTGTAGTTCAGGCACCCAACGAATCAGCCTTGGCTTGGACTCCTTCTTGGAAAAGAGATACTTGAGAGCCGCATGATCCATGAAGACAATGGTCTTGGAACCCAACAAATAACACCGGAATTTCTCAAAAGAGTGAACAATGGCCAAGAATTCCTTTTCCGTTGTAGATCCCATCTCGGGGCTTGAACAATAGGGGTAGAGATTAGAGCCTTCTTCAACCTATTAAATGCCTCCAAGAATTTACCATTAAACACAAACTCAACATCTTTTTGAAGAAGATCATTCAAGGGCTTGGCAATGAGTGAGAAATCCTTGATGAATCTTCTATAGAAACCCGCATGTCCCAAAAATGATC